CCCCCCGCCCCACCCCCAATATTCCAATTCATCTACACTGCAATGAGCTGTTGTAATTTCATGTACTATTTGCACTAACATCTGATCGGGATTAGGTTTATCTGAAAAGGAATGGACACACAATGAGAGCATATGCTGCACATCAATATTAAAATGTACGAGTAATTGGTGTAAAGGTGAGTTACTATAATAATAATATTTATATAATAATAATATTTATTGTTGTTGTTGTTGTTGTTGTTGCCCCAAATTTTAAATTCATCAAAAAAGTTGTAAAATTTGACGTGGATGTTTCTATTTGCATGTAAAATCCTTTGAAACAGTTTCATGTTAAAAAATTTTCAATAATTTTTAAATTATTATTTTTTAGTTTTGGCCTCGAACTCTAGGGGTACCATTACATTTTCTGGCAAAATTTTAAATTCATCAAAATAGTTGCAAAATTTGACATGGATCTTTATGTTTGCATGTAAAATCCTTTGTAAAAGTTTCATGTCAAAATACTTGTCAATAATGTATAAATTATTATTTTTTTGGTTTTGGCCTCGAGCTTTAGGGGTACCATCACATTTTTTGACCAAATTTTAAATTAATAAAAAAAGTTGCAAAATTTGACATGGATCTTTTTGTGTTCATGTAAAATCTTTTTTAAAAGTTTCATGTCAAAAATACTTGTCAATAATGTATAAATTATTATTTTTTTAGTTTTGGCCTCGAGCTCTATGGGTAGTACCATCAAATTTTTTGGCAAAATTTTAAATTCATCAAAAAATTGCAAAATTTGACATGGATCTTTTTGTTTGCATGTAAAATCCTTTGTAAAAGTTTCATGTCAAAAATACTTGTCTATAATGTATAAATTATTATTTTTTTAGTTTTTCCCCCGAGCTCTAGGGATACCATCACATTTTTTGGCCAAATTTTAAATTTATCAAAAAAGTTGCAAAATTTGGCATGAATCTTTCTATTTGCATGTAAAATCCTTTGTAAATGTTTCGTGTAAAAAATACTTGTCAACAATGTATAAATTATTATTTTTTAGTTTTGGCGCCGAGCTCTAGGGGTACCATCATATTTTTTGGCCAAATTTTAAATTCATCAAAAAAGTTGCAAAATTTGATATGGATCTTTCTGTAAGCATGTAAAATCCTTTGTAAAAGTTTCAAAAATACTTGTGAATAAAGTATTAATTACTCTTTCCGTTCCAAATTATAATGCCTGCTCACTATTCACAGGGTCAAACTTCATTCACTTTCTTTCTCTATTTTCATTAGCAATTTGATAAAATAAAATATTGTTGTTACTACTAGTTTTGTAGATCTTTTGATGTAGTATTTTGATATGTAATTTTTATTTTTTAACTCTATACCATTTTTCATATAAAATGATTTGAAAAGAACTTCAGTCAAACATCGTAAACCGAAACAGGCGTTATAAAATGGGACGGAGGGAGTATTATTTTTTTAGTTTTGGCCTCGAGCGCTATGGGTAGTACAATCACAATTTTTTGGAAAAATTTTAAATTTATCAAAAAAGTTGCAAAATTTGACATGGATCTTTCTGTTTGCATGTAAAATCCTTTGTAAAAATTTCATGTCAAAAATACTTGTCTATAATGTATAAATTATTATTTTTTAGTTTTGCCCCCGAACTCTAGGGTACCATCACATTTTTGACTAAATTTTAAATTCATCAAAAAAGTTGCAAAATTAGGCATGGATCTTTGTGTTTGCATGTAAAATTCTTTCTAAAAATTTCATGTCAAAAATACTTGTCAATAATGTATAAATTATTATTTTTTTAGTTTTGGCCTCGAGCTCTAGGGGTATCATCACATTTTTTGACAAAATTTTAAATTCATCAAAAAAGTTGCAAAATTTTACATGGATGTTTGCATGTAAAATCCTTTGTAAAAATTTCATGTCAATAATGTATAAATTATTATTTTTTTATTTTGGCCTCGAGTTCTAGGGGTACCATCACATTTTTTGGCCAAATTTTAAATTCATAAAAAAAGTTGAAAAATTTGACATGGATCTTTCTGTTTTCATGTAAAATCTTTTTTAAAAGTTTCATGTCAAAAATACGTGTCAATAATGTATAAATCATTATATTTTTAGTTTTGACCTCAACCTCTGGGAGTACCATCATATTTTTTGGCCAAATTTTAAATTCATAAAAAAAGTTGCACAATTTGACACGAATCTTTCTGTTTTTTCATGTAAAATCCTTTTTAAAAGTTTCATTGTCAAAAGTACTTGTCAATAATGTATAAATGATTATTTTTTAGTTTCGGCCTCGAACTCTAGAGGTACCATTACATTTTTTGGCCAAATTTTAAATTTATCAAAAAAGTTGCAAAACTTGACATGGATCTTTCTGTTTGCATGTAAAATCTTTTTTAAAAGTTTCATGTCAAAAGTACTTGTCAATAATGTATAAATTATTATTTTTTTAGTTTTGGTCTCGAGCTTTAGGGGTACAATTACATTTTCTGGCAAAATTTTAAATTCATCAAAATAGTTGCAAAATTTGACATGGATCTTTGTGTTTGCATGTAAAATCCTTTCTAAAAGTTTCATGTAAAAAATACTTGTCAATAATGTATAAATTATTATTTTTTTAGTTTTGGTCTCGAGCTCTATGGGTAGTACCATCAAATTTTTTGGCAAAATTTTAAATTCATCAAAACATTGCAAAATTTGACATGGATCTTTCTGTTTGCATGTAAAATCCTTTGTAAAAGTTTCATGTCAAAAATACTTGTCTATAATGTATAAATTATTATTTTTTTAGTTTTTCCACCGAGCTCTAGGGTACCATCACATTTTTGGCTAAATTATAAATTCATCAAAAAAGTTGCAAAATTCAGCATGGATCTTTGTGTTTGCATGTAAAATTCTTTCTAAAAGTTTCATGTAAAAACACTTGTCAATGATGTATAAATTATTATTTTTTTAGTCTTGCCTCGAGTTTTAAGGGTACCATCACATTTTTTTGCCAAATTTTAAATTCATCAAAAAAGTTACAAAATTTGACATGAATCTTTCTGTTTGCATGTAAAATCGTTTTTAAAAGTTTCATGTCAAAATTACATGTCAATAATATATAAATTATTATTTTTTTAGTTTTGGCCTCTAGCTCTAGGGGTACCATCACATTTTTTTGAAAAAATTTTAAATTCATCAAAAAAGTTGTAAAATTTTACATGGATCTTTCTGTTTTCATGTAAAATCCTTTTTAAAAGTTTCATGTCAATAATACTTGTCAATAATGTATAATTTATTATTTTTTTAGTTTTGACCTCAAGCTCTAGAAGTACCATCATATTTTTTGGCCAAATTTTAAATTCATAAAAAAAGTTGCAAAATTTGACATGGATCTTTCTATAAGCATGTAAAATCCTTTGTAAAAGTTTCATGTAAAAAATACTTGTCAATAATGTATAAATTATTATTTTTTTAGTTTTGGCCTCGAGCTCTAGGGCTACTACCATCACTTTTTTTGGCCAAATTTTAAATTAATAAAAAAAGTTTCAAAATTTGACATGGATCTTTGTGTTTGCATGTGAAATCCTTTCTTAAAGTTTCATGTCAAAAATACTTGTCAATAATGTATAAATTATTATTATTTTAGTTTTGGCCTCGAGCTCTAAGGGTACCATCACATTTTTTGACAAAATTTTAAATTTATCAAAAAAGTTGCAAAATTTGACATGGATCTTTTTGTTTGCATGTAAAATCTTTTTTAAAAGTTTCATTTCAAAAATACTTGTCAATAATGTATAAAATATTATTTTTTAATTTGGCCTCGAACTCTAGGGGTACCATCACATTTTTAAGCCAAATTTTAAATTCATTAAAAAAGTTGCAAAATTTGACATGAATCTTTCTATTTGCATGTAAAGTCCTTTGTAAAAGTTTCGTGTAAAAAATACTTGTCAATAATGTTTAAATTATTTTTTTTTTAGTTTTGGGCCCGAGCTCTTGGGGTACCATCACATTTTTTGACCAAATTTTAAATTCATCAAAAAAATTACAAAACTTGACATGGATCTTTCTGTAAGCATGTAAGATCCTTTGTAAAAGTTTCAAAAATATTTGTGAATAAAGTATTAATTATTATTTTTTTAGTTTTGGCCTCGAGCTCTATGGATAGTACCATCACATTTTTTGGCAATATTTTAAATTCATAAAAAAACTTGCAAAATTTGACATGGATCTTTCCGTTTGCATGTAAAATCTTTTGTAAAAGTTTCATGTCAAAAATACTTGTCAATAATGTATAAATTATTATTTTTTTTAGTTTCAGCCTCGAGCTCTAGGGGTACCATCACATTTTTTGGCCAAATTTTAAATTCATCAAAAAATATGCAAAATTTGACATGGATATTTTTATTTTCATTTAAAATCCTTTTAAAAAGTTTCATGTCAAAAATACTTGTCAATAATGTATAAATTATTATTTTTTTATTTTGGCCTCGAGCTCTAGGGGTACCATCACATTTTTTTGCCAAATTTTAGATTTCATCAAAAAAAGTTGCAATATTTTACATGGATCTTTATGTTTTCATGTAAAATCCTTTTTAAAAGTTTCATGTCCGTCAAAAATACTTGTCAATAATGTATTATTTATTATTTTTTTAGTTTTGGCCTCGAGCTCTAGGGGTACCATTACATTTTTTTGGCAAGATTTTAAATTCATCAAAAAGTTGCAAAATTTGACATGGATCTTTTTGTTTGAATGTAAAATCCTTTGTAAAAGTTTCATGTTAAAAATAATTGTCTATGATTTTTAAATTATTATTTTTTAGTTTTGGCCTCGAACTCTAAGGGTACCATTACATTTTCCTGGCAAAATTTTAAATTCATCAAAATAGTTGCAAAATTTGACATGGATCTTTGTGTTTGCATGTAAAATCATTTCTAAAAGTTTCATGTAAAAAATACTTGTCAATAATGTATAAATTATTTTTTTAAGGTTTGGCCTCGAGCTTTAGGGGTACCATCACTTTTTTTGGCCAAATTTTAAATTCATCAAAAAAGTTGCAAAATTTGACATGGATCTTTGTGTTTGCATGTGAAATCCTTTCTTAAAGTTTCATGTCAAAAATACTTGTAAATAATGTATAAATGATTATTTTTTTAGTTTTACCTTTGAGCTCTAAGATTACCATCAC